ATGCAAGTTCGGCTTATTATGCAAGTTCGGCTTATTATGCAAGTTCGGCTTATTATGCAAGTTCGGCTTATTCTGCAAGTTCGGCTTATTATGCAAGTTCGGCTTATTCTGCAAGTTCGGCTTATTATGCAAGTTCGGCTTATTATGCAAGTTCGGCTTATTCTGCAAGTTCGGCTTATTATGCAAGTTCGGCTTATTCTGCAAGTTCGGCTTATTATGCAAGTTCGGCTTATTATGCAAGTTCGGCTTATTCTGCAAGTTCGGCTTATTATGCAAGTTCGGCTTATTCTGCAAGTGTATTGAGTCGGTTATTATGCAAGTTCGGCTTATTATGCAAAGTTCGGCTTATTATGCAAGTTCGGCTTATTCTGCAAGTTCGGCTTATTATGCAAGTTCGGCTTATTCTGCAAGTTCGGCTTATTATGCAAGTTCGGCTTATTATGCAAGTTCGGCTTATTATGCAAGTTCGGCTTATTTGCAAGTTCGGCTTATTAAGTGCAATTTCAGTGCTTATTTGCAAGTTCGGCTTATTATGCAAGTTCGGCTTATTCTGCAAGTTCGGCTTATTATGCAAGTTCGGCTTATTATGCAAGTTCGGCTTATTCTGCAAGTTCGGCTTATTATGCAAGTTCGGCTTATTATGCAAGTTCGGCTTATTCTGCAAGTTCGGCTTATTATGCAAGTTCGGCTTATTATGCAAGTTCGGCTTATTCTGCAAGTTCGGCTTATTATGCAAGTTCGGCTTATTATGCAAGTTCGGCTTATTCTGCAAGTTCGGCTTATTATGCAAGTTCGGCTTATTATGCAAGTTCGGCTTATTATGCAAGTTCGGCTTATTATGCAAGTTCGGCTTATTATGCAAGTTCGGCTTATTCTGTAAGTTCGGCTTATTATGCAAGTTCGGCTTATTCAGCAAGTTCGGCTTATTCAGCAAGTTCAGATAATTCAGCAAGTTCGGCTTATTCAGCAAGTTCGGCTTATTCTGAAAGCTCGGCTTATTCAGCAAGTTCAGCTTATTCAACAAGTTCGGCTTATTCAGCAGGTTCGGCTTATTCTGAAAGCTCGGCTTATTCTGCAAGTTCATCTTATTCGGCAAGTTCGGCTTATTCAGCAAGTTCGGCTTATTCGGCAAGTTCGCCTTATTCAGCAAGTTCGGCTTATTCAGCAAGTTCGGCTTATTCAGCAAGTTCGGCTTATTCAGCAAGTTCAGCTTATTCAGCAAGTTCGGCTTACTCAGCAGGTTCGGCTTATTCTGAAAGCTCGGCTTATTCTGCAAGTTCATCTTATTCGGCAAGTTCGGCTTATTCAGCAAGTTCGGCTTATTCAGCAAGTTCGGCTTATTCGGCAAGTTCGGCTTATTCAGCAAGTTCGGCTTATTCAGCAAGTTCGGCTTATTCAGCAAGTTCGGCTTATTCAGCAAGTTCGGCTTATTCAGCAAGTTCGGCTTATTCAGCAAGTTCAGCTTATTCAGCAAGTTCAGCTTATTCAGCAAGTTCGGCTTATTCAGCAAGTTCGGCTTATTCGGCAAGTTCGGCTTATTCGCCAAGTTCGGCTTATTCGGCAAGTTCGGCTTATTCAGCAAGTTCGGCTTATTCTGCAAGTTCGGCTTATTCGGCAAGTTCGGCTTATTCAGCAAGTTCGGCTTATTCTGCAAGTTCGGCTTATTCGGCAAGTTCGGCTTATTCAGCAAGTTCGGCTTATTCTGCAAGTTCGGCTTATTTCACTAAAACCAATTTGATTAACAAAATCGGCACATTAACATTTTCTCGGCCTTAAATCAAGCCGAAACTTTCTTTCAGGACAACACATTAGCGCCAAAATTTTCTAAAAAAGTTCTGTTTTTTTTTTTTTGGGGGGGGGGATGAATCTTGAAAGATTAAATATTTCAGAATCGATTAATTTTTCTAAGGTTAAGGCGCTAAAGCCGTACAAAGGGGAGGATAAATTTATTTTCTTGAATCAAGAGCCGATCAACTGCCTGAAGGCAAAATAATGCAATAATATAAATGAATCAACGAACTTTGTTAACAATATTAATTTTGTAATAAAATTGATAGAATTACCGACAATATGTAAAGTAAAAGGACACAAGTGCAACTAATGTGACATTTTATTGTGGCAACGTTTCGCTCTCCAAGAGCTTTATCAAGAATGGCTTGATAAAGCTCCTGGAGAGCGAAACGTTGCCACAATAAAATGTCACATCAGTTGCACTTGTGTCCTTTTACTTTACATATTAACTTTCTTGTAATTAGGAAACAAGTGTTAAAATTTGGAAGCCGATCATGAGAGGCTTCTGCAAGTTGTGTGAAGATCAGTGTCTGATATATAACACTGATCAACTGCACTTGTATCACATGACTTCACTTAGTAATACTTGACCAGAGTTGAAGATTTGAAGACTATCGGAAAAACAAAGTTCGGAAGTTAGAAAATAAAGCCATGAAGGAACTTAAAGTTGCGAGGAATATGAAGATTTTATTCTAAGTTGTACCTGCGAAGTTGTACCTGCTAAGTTGTACCTGCTAAGTTGTACCAGCTAAGTTGTACCTGCGAAGTTGTACCTGCTAAGTTGTACCTGCTAAGTTGTACCTGCTAAGTTGTACCTGCTAAGTTGTACCTACTAAGTTGTACCAGCTAAGTTGTACCTGCTAAGTTGTACCAGCTAAGTTGTACCTGCTAAGTTGTACCTACTAAGTTGTACCTGCTAAGTTGTACCTGCTAAGTTGTACCTGCTAAGTTGTACCAGCTAAGTCGTACCTGCTAAGTTGTACCTGCTAAGTTGTACCTGCTAAGTTGTACCAGCTAAGTTGTACCAGCTAAGTTGTACCAGCTAAGTCGTACCTGCTAAGTTGTACCTGCTAAGTTGTACCTGCTAAATTGTACCTGCTAAGTTGTACCTGCTAAGTTGTACCTGCTAAGTTGTACCTGCTAAGTTGTACCAGCTAAGTTGTACCAGCTAAGTTGTACCAGCTAAGTCGTACCTGCTAAGTTGTACCTGCTAAGTTGTACCTGCTAAGTTGTACCTGCTAAGTTGTACCAGCTAAGTTGTACCTGCTAAGTTGTACCTGCTAAGTTGTACCAGCTAAGTTGTACCTGCTAAGTTGTACCAGCTAAGTTGTACCTGCTAAGTTGTACCTGCTAAGTTGTACCAGCTAAGTTGTACCTGCTAAGTTGTACCTGCTAAGTTGTACCAGCTAAGTTGTACCTGCTAAGTTGTACCTGCTAAGTTGTACCTGCTAAGTTGTACCTGCTAAGTTGTACCTGCTAAGTTGTACCTGCTGAGGCAGTTTTTAAGCGATCACTAAAGTCAAGAAAATTAAAAATTCAATAAAACTGCGAGTTTTTAATATTTCTTCATTTTGTTTTATACGAATCTGTTGTGTTTAAATTTCTGTACCGACGTCTAGGGAAAAAATATTTGACTCTGGGTCTTTAAGATCCAGTTTGATAATAATTATTCTTTGAATTTGGGAAATTAACATGTGGAAAGCCCAAAAATGTCTAAAATAAAGGTGCATCAGCTCTTAAGAGTTTAAAGCCGACCAGAAGAAGAGTTCTCTAGTTATTTTGTGAAAACAAATTTATTTAAAAATATTAGGAATTTAAAATCTACATATCTCAGAGTGAAAGATGTGACAAAAATGGTTTAAACAACTGACAAGTTGAAGAATGAGACACTTCTATCAAGGCTGATGTAATGATCACATCGACTTTAGGGATTGATTACCTCAAACTTTCCCTCATCCTCCACTGTTCTTCTCTGTATTGGACTGAAGAAGCCACTGACTAGTGAAACCTTTCCACAGTAAAGATTAGCATCTGGTGCACAAGTGTCTTAGTCTTCAAAGTGTAAGTCAAACTTTCTTGTAATAAACCACATCAGCAGCGAAAGTTTGAAACTAATTAGAAAAGACAATCTCCAGCAGTTTCTGTGAATCCAACGATTCCAATTTTCTTTACCATTTTCAGTAAAATCTCAGTTTTCCTGGAAAAGTCTGAACTTATAGATTGTCGTCCTTCATTTTTATATATCAGTGTTATATACTGAAGCCGATAATCAACGAAAATCAGTCTCACTATTTCTTTAAATTGACAGACTGAGACTTCCAGAGCTCAATAACAACGGGAAACTTGGTTTCTGGATAATTCATCAATGATAAAAATTTGAAGCCCACCAGAAGAGGCGTTCTCCTGTCATATCACGGATTTCAACTTTAACAATCCCAAAATAAATTTAGTTCATTGAAAAATTTACCAGGACAGGAAATAAACTAAGTGGGCACTGTTCTGGAAGTATGATGCATCGGTCCTTTTACCTTGAAGCAGTTCACAGCGGGTAGACTCAAATATACTTAATTAACGCTTTTGACAGGAATCTACATTTTACACTATTTTATCCAATGAACTGGAAGACGTGCACCCAGGCACCTGAATTACACTTGACGAATTAGGAGACAGGTTTTTCGAACGTTTGAAGATGCGCCACAACGGTTTTGGTAACTATAGGAGCTATTCCAGGATGCGGGAACGGATCCTACAACTTTGACCATAGGGCGCCTGAACATGCCAATTGCTCCTGCAATATAAATTTTGTTACCACGTGAGATCAGTCTTCGTGGTAATTTATAATACACTAAAAAACAAATTGGAATTTGAAACACAAAAAAATGAAAGATGGTTGTTGTTGTTGTTGGTGGTGGAGGTGGTGGTGGAGGTGGTGGTGGAGGTGGTGGTGGAGGTGGTGGTTGGGATGTTGGTACCGGTGTGGGTGATGGCTGGTGGTTTTGATAATGGTGATGCTGGAAGTGTAGGTGGTGATTCAGGGGGTTGTGGTAGATGTAGTTGTGGGTAGGGGTTGAGTAGTGGTAATAGTAATGAATGTGGTGGTTGTAAGAGATTTCATGGTAACAATAATTGTGGGTGGTGGTGGTGGCGGTTGGTAGCCGGGAAGTGATGGTGGTGGTAATGGTTAAAGTTTGTGGTGATGATGGCGGAGGTGATGGTGTTAGTGGTGATAACAACGATTGTCGTCGTTGGTGGAGGGTAGTGACTTTGGTAGTGATGATAATTGTGGTGGATTGGTCGTCATGGTAATTAGGGTGGAGGTAGTGATTGCTAAAATGATTGAGAGTGGTGATATTGGATGTAATAGGGGAGTTGGAGAAATGATTTTGGTGAGTGGTGGTGGTTGGTGACAGTGGCGGTGTTGGTGGGTGAGGTGATATTATGGTGTGTAGTGGTGATAACTGTGGAAGTAATGGAAGTGGAGGTGGGTGTAGTGGGTGGTAGTGATGGTGGTGATGGTGGTGATGGTGGTGATGGTGGTGATGGTAGTGGTGGTGATGGTGGCTTTGGTGGAGATGAGTGGTGGTGGTCGGGTGGACAAGCAGCTCAGTCTCGTGGAGAGCGGAGTGGTGAGAGGACAGTCGTTGTTGCTCTCCCAGGCACTCTGGCACTGGCACACACACACAAGTATAAGACTTGTAGACGAGTGATGGCGATGTAGAGTCACTCAACAACAACTACAAGACAAACGCTCTGAATCAAAGAAAACTTATTTTCTGTATGATAAAGAGAAAAGATGTGAGCTTTGACAGTGATTAGTAGTGGTTCACGAGTCATTAGGAGTGTTCACAGACGATGTTCAACTACAGAAGCGAGAGTGGCACCGCCTGTCAGTACGGCACTCCTGAACTTCTTCTCTCGCTAACAGACTGCAACTGACTCGAGTATTAAACCATGGCAGCTATGTAAAATTGAGATGATGGTTGTGAAATATGAATCTGTTAAATTTATGATGGTTGTGGTGTGACCGGTATCAAGTCTGTGTTCGTGAACCCAGCTTTCTCACACCCCAGACTGTCCCATCACCACCATCATGGACAACGAGACATTCTCAGATTATGGCGTCAGCACGTTTGAGAGCTACTTCCTACTGGTGAACGGAAGCTGTGGGAGTGACAACGTCACTGACTTCCTCAACGTGAGCAACTTGTACCCTCTGGATCTGGCTATACCTCTCTATGGGTACGCAATGCCAGTATTGCTCCTTGTAACGACTGTTGCCAACACTATCATCGTTGCCGTCTTGTGGCAACACCACATGCGTTCCCCAACTAACGCTGTGCTCATGGCTATGGCGCTCTCAGACATGCTCACTGTGCTCTTCCCGGAACCCGTCTTCTTCTACATGTACACACTAAGCAATCATGCTAAGCCCCTCTATCCCCAAGCCGCTTGCTATGCCTGGGGCTTTCTACACGAAGACATCCCCAACTTGTTTCACACAGCATCCATCTGGTTGACGGTGGCCCTGGCTGTACAGCGGTACATTTATGTGTGTCACCCTCCTCTGGCCCGCACCTGGTGTACACTTCCCCGCGTCATCAATGCTATCATCTGGATCTTCATCTTCGCCACCATTCACCAGGCGCCCAGATTCTTCGACACCGTGTATGACTCCGTGGAAGTTAAATGGCAAGGCGAGTGTGTATTTGTATGTAGCGAGAGGTTCAGCGACTGGGTGACCCAAATTACTCCCAACATTTACTTTCCAATATACTTCTGGTTCCGGGTGGTGTTCGTGCATCTGGGTCCCTGCACGTTGCTGGTAGTGCTCAACCTTCTCCTCTTCAGGGCCATGAAAGAAGCACAGAAGCGCAGGAAGAAACTTTTAAATGACAAGAACTCGAAGAGGGAATGCAAGAAACTGAGGGATTCCAACTGCACCACACTGATGCTGATCGCTGTTGTGTCCGTCTTCCTGGTGACTGAGATTCCTCTTGCAATAATAACTCTCCTTCACATCATAACCAACATGGGAGTCGAACTTATCTCCAACGATTCCTATTACATGCTTATGTATTTCTTCATTATCTCTAATTCCTTCATCATATTCTCCTACCCCATAAACTTTGCCATCTATTGTGGCATGTCGCGACAGTTTAGAGAGACATTCCGCGATCTCTTCATTCGTGGACACGGAACACCGCGGAGAAAAGATTCGACCCGCTACTCAACGAACAACAGTCGCCCACGCACCATCCGCTCCTGCACCTCTGAAACGGGTATATATGGACGGGTGGCACTTGGAGAAGGTACCGACTCTCGCCGCCCTTCTGTTGTTTGTCATCTTCCAGCCAAGTTATCGAATCAAAATTCTCTTCACATCGGCATTAGTAACTGTGTCGCCAGCGTCTTCGATCCACCAGGCGAGACATCAGTGTTCTCACAGGATAACCAGACTATCATATCCAAGTCATCAGACCTGTTGTGTAGCTCCCAGATTTTCGATTATAGTCATCGTGAAACATTAGAGGCAGGAATCACGAAAGACAAGACACTTTTACAAATCACTAAACCCAAAAAGGAGGAAAAAGACAAGTCAGTGACCAATATGCATAAAGATGGGCGACGCAGCCCCACCTCAAACCTCAGAGTTCATTTCGAGAGTCCAGGTATTGGCAGCAGCTGTAGCCTGGGCATTAACATCAACGA